AGCTTCAAATCAGCCTGAGGGCCATAGGAGCCATTGAAACATTACAAACAGGGATTAGGGTGCTAAGGTCACGGGCACAAAGGGAGAGGAAGCCTGAGAGGTTAACTGAGGGTGAAGCAACAGGACATCATGGCTTGCTGAGGTTGGGGAAAGGCCTAGGAGATGATCTGAGGCTGGTGATAACAAGAACAGGCTCTGGAAATGGAGGAGTTACCTTGAAGGGAGGGAGATTAGTGTGTGGTGCCTGTGGGTTACTTTTTCCAGCCTGTCTGCTCTCTTGATCAAGTTTACAGTGTGCTTGCGTCGGGAGGGGCAGACTGTGTATCAGCAAGTTCTGTCCCTGGAGCGTCCAAGTGTCCTACGGAGCTGGAACTGGGGCCTATGTGGCTACTTTGCTTTCTACCATGCTCTCTATCCCCGGGCCTGGACTGTCTATCAGCTTCCTGGCCAGAATGTCACCCTCACTTGCCGCCAGATCACACCTATCTTGCCCCATGACTACCAGGTGAGGCTTTCCCTTCTGTTTCCTCCATTACCTTCCCTCTCCCAGATCCACTTCTGCCAGAAATTCCATGACTTATGGAAGGGAGGGGTTGGAGCTATGAGCATCACACTGGCTTCCCATTCCAATTAATCCTAGTCTTCTGGGTCGTCCAGTATCTGTGAATATGGGAGATGCAAGCGGAAGATAGAGAGCATACTGGGGAGTGTTTGAGCTCCTCTGTGCCCATGATGATCCTGGGGAGTGGATCCAAGACTGGCTACATTAAGATTGAGTTCAATCTTTTGTCCCCAGGACAGTAGCCTGCCTGTAGGTATCTTTGTGTGGGATGTGGAGAATGAAGGGGATGAAACTCTGGATGTTTCCATCATGTTCTCCATGCGGAATGGATTAGGGGGTGAAGATGATGCCCTAGGGGGCTTGTGGAATGAGCCCTTTTGTCTGGAACGGGATGGGGAGACTGTACAGGGCCTGCTCCTGCATCATCCAACCCCTCCGAATCCCTACACCATGGCTGTGGCTGCACGACGCACGGTAATGGAAGAGCCTGCCTTATACCTTTGCCCCTGAGTCCTTGCCCTCACAGTCTGACCCTGAACCTATTTCCTCCCCTCATCATCTCTCCACTCCTAAGTCTTACCCTTATCACAGCCCTCAGCCTCTGAAACTTGGAGGTGGCTATATATAAAAGGAGCTCATACTTGCCCTCACAGAGTCTTTGACCTTTTAACAGGCAGATACCACGGTAACCCACAGCACAGCCTTTGACCCTGACAGCACTGGGCAGCAGGTGTGGCAGGACCTACTTCAGGATGGACAACTGGACTCCCCTGCTGGTGATGGGGGCGGTCTGACTGGGAGGTGCTGGGAAGAAAGGCTGTGTCCTGTCTTAGGACCAGGAGACCTAAGATAGGAGACCTGACAAATGTTCTTGTTCTCCTGTTAGGGGTCCCTAGCCTTAGGGGTTCAAGGGGGTACCTGTGCTGATTCCTCTGTGTTTCTCAGGCCAAAGCACCCCCTCGAAGAAAGGAGTAGGTATTGCTGGGGCAGTATGTGTCTCCAGCAAGCTGCCACCACGAGGCCAGTGCTGCCTGGAGTTTTCACTGGCTTGGGACATGCCCAGGATCATGTTCGGAGCTAAGGGCCAAGTCCACTACAGGTAGGAAAACCAAAGAAGTGCAGGGATCCAAAAGCACTGGGGCTCTGACCTGGAGCAAGTGCTCTTATCTCTTCCTCCCTTTTCCATCTCAGGAGGTATACAAGGTTCTTTGGCTCAGATGGTGATGCAGCACCTGCCCTTAGCCACTATGCACTGTGCCAATATGCAGCCTGGGAGGACAGGATCTCAGCTTGGCAGAACCCAGTATTGGATGACAGGTGCCAGTGGATTTTGCCCACTCACTCCAAATAGGACCTGACCCATTCCTACCCACCCCTCAGTAGGCCTGTTCTGGGACTCGCTTAGTATACCTACTCTGCTGAACTCTAGAATCCTTTCTCTCCTTGGAAGCCCACACTTATAAAGGTTCATTCCCTCCTCTGGCTTCCCAGATCCTTGCCTGCCTGGTACAAATCTGCACTGTTCAATGAATTATATTTCCTGGCTGATGGAGGCACTGTATGGCTGGAAGTTCCTGAGGACTCCCTACCAGAGGAGCTAGGAGGGAGCATGAATCAGCTCCGCCCTATTCTGCAAGACTACGGTCGATTTGGCTATCTTGAGGGTATGGGCTACTGGTGGGCTGGGGTGTGTCAGGTCAGTGTGCTACACAAAGCAAGATGATAGATTTTTTTGCCTGTCCCAAGATATAAAGGGGATGAGTGAGTGAGTGGTGACTGTGGACAGGTGACAGTGCCCTGCTCCAGTTTTTGGAGAAGGGCTATCAAGGGGAAGCTGGGATCGTGGCAACAAAATCTGTCTTGTTCCTCCAGGCCAGGAGTATCGCATGTACAATACATATGATGTCCACTTTTATGCTTCTTTTGCCCTCATCATGCTGTGGCCCAAACTTGAGCTCAGTCTACAGTATGATATGGGTGAGGGTAAATTCTGTGTTGTTTCCCTCTTAGCTTCTTTTCTTTTGCCCGTGAACTTTTATAGTCCCTTAAATTATGTACCTTTCCCCTTCTCTCTGAGCATATCTGCATCCTGCTTATTGGTTTCCCTCTGGGATCACACACAGAGCTCTGTACCAGACCCCAAGCCTGCCCATTCACTGCTTTCCCTCACCTACTTGTGTGATCACCTACTCCCCCAGCTCTAGCAACCCTCAAGGAGGACCTGACACGGCGACGGTACCTGATGAGTGGGGTAGTGGCACCTGTGAAAAGGAGGAATGTTATCCCTCATGATATTGGGGACCCAGGTAAAGATCCCTGTGTCCCCAAAGGCAGCTTTTCTCCATCAGCTCTTGTACCTTCTACTCTGCTTGCCAATGCAGACGAACCAGGTCCCTTTCCCTCCACAGATGATGAGCCATGGCTCCGGGTCAATGCATATTTGATTCATGATACTGCTGACTGGAAGGACCTCAACCTGAAGTTTGTACTGCAAGTTTATCGGGACTACTACCTGACGAGTGACCAAAGCTTCCTGAAGGACATGTGGCCAGTGTGTCTAGTAAGGGATGAGTACACAGTGTCCAGTGTGCTAGGGGCATAACTAGTGTCTGGGGAGAACCTAGCTGGCTAGTCTTCCTTAGAACCTAGGTCTTTAATGTCTTGGTCCCTCTCTAGGCTGTGATGGAATCTGAAATGAAGTTTGACAAGGACCACGATGGACTCATTGAGAATGGAGGCTATGCAGACCAGACCTATGATGGATGGGTCACCACAGGCCCCAGGTTGGGGGGCTGGGATTTCCAAGAGGTCTGAGGTGGGAACCTGGGCATATAAGGATGGTAGTGCTCTAGGAAGAATGATTCATTACCTGTTAGATTGCCTGGGAGTGGCTGGAGCTGCCAGTCTGACTCCCAACCCCTTGTCCCTGCTCAGTGCTTACTGTGGAGGGCTGTGGCTGGCAGCTGTGGCTGTGATGGTTCAGATGGCTGTTCTATGTGGGGCACAAGATGTCCAGGATAAGTTTTCTTCTATCCTCCGCCGAGGCCAGGAAGCCTATGAGAGACTGCTCTGGAATGGTAAGTGGAAGGAACCTAAGGAGTCTTAAAACCAACTATGGGGACCCAAGAAGCCTTACTTTGCCCTTCTTCTACTCCAGGCCGCTATTACAACTACGATAGCAGCTCTCAGCCTCAGTCCCGCAGCATCATGTCTGACCAGTGTGCTGGGCAGTGGTTCCTGAGGGCCTGTGGCCTGGGAGAAGGAGACACTGAGGTGAGAGAGACTAAAAGAAGCCAAAAAGAGCCTAGTGTGGTGGCGCACCTTTAATTCCAGCAGTTGGGAGAAGGGGGCAGGCGGATCTCTGTGAGATCCAGGCCAGTCTGGTCTACATAGCGAGTTCCAGGCCAGCTGGGAAAACAGGGAGACCCTGTCTCAAAAAAAAAAGGAAAAAATGTGGGTTTCCCTAGGAGTGGGAGGCAGGTATAGACCAGCTCTCTGCCTCTGCCTTCCAGGTATTTCCTACCGTGCATGTGGTCCGTGCTCTCCAAACCATCTTTGAGCTCAATGTCCAGGCCTTTGCAGGAGGGGCTATGGGGGCTGTGAATGGGATGCAGCCTCATGGTGTCCCTGACAGATCCAGCGTGCAGTCTGATGAAGTCTGGGTGGGTGTGGTCTACGGGCTAGCAGCCACCATGATCCAAGAGGTAACGCTTTCCCTTTCCCATCTCTCTACCATTGGTACTGTGGCCCACAAAATTTCCTCAGCCACCAGATTTGTTCAAGGCACTCCGATGCCATCTTATTCATCCATAAAGACTTCTTTTCCCTGGTATGCATTCCACTTCCTGCTTTTAAGTTTTCCCTGAGGGCAGGAGGCCTACTGTCTTATCTGCTGAGCTAAAGTAATTGCACCAGGAGTGCCAAGTCATTAAGACTTCTCTCTTCTCTCTTTCCCCACAGGGCCTAATTTGGGAAGGTTTCCGGACAGCTGAAGGCTGCTATCGCACTGTATGGGAACGCCTAGGCCTGGCTTTCCAGACTCCAGAGGCATACTGCCAGCAGCAGGTGTTCCGTTCACTGGCCTACATGCGGCCACTGAGCATCTGGGCCATGCAGCTGGCCCTGCAACAGCAACAGCATAAAAAGGGCAGCAGACCAATAGTCACACAGGGCGCTGGACTAAGCACAGAGCCTAAATGTGGACCAAAGACAACTCTGGCAGACCTAAGTCCAGAGTGAGCTCCCTGAACTGTGGAAACCCAGCCTCCGGACTGGTCTTTCCTCCCTCCACCCAAAACTCCTGCAGCCCTGAGCCACCAGGACAATCATGCCCCTTTCCTTCTTCCTACCCAACTGTGCCAGTAAAAAGGGGCTGAGGAACCACTTATTTATTTCTTATCCTACCTGTTCCTTCACTGCATGAAATACTCGAGGCCAGTCAATTTCTCGAAGTCTATTTATGGGACAACAGACACACATGGGTACAAATAAAAGACCCACAAAGCTAGTAAGTGTGGTGTGTTTGAGCTCCCAGGCATCCTTACAGCACAGGAACAAAGGCCAGCCCTTTCCCCATCTCCTTTTTATTTGAACACACACAGGCATCCCCAGGCCCTTGCTGAAATACTCCATATCCTCATATTTAACCAGAATACCCGCCCTGCAAGAGGACAGATGAAGGGCTGTGGGTAGGGAGCCATTCCCCCTTTCTTGAGAGATTTACCTGCAGGGGAAGGATGGACTCTGAGAAGGGGGTCTCTTGGGAGAGGTCAGGGAGTGGCTGCTGCAAAGGAGGCTCTGCCTGAGGCATGTGGTACAACAGGCAGGAAAAGTTGCTAGAGGCCTGGAGTGTATGTTCTGAACTGTCCAGCAACTGGCCTGTGCTGTCCCTTGGTACCTCTGACTGCAGAGCAGGCAGCTTCAGCTGCTGAGGGTCCTCACTGCGCAGGGTACGAAGCTGGCGGTGCAGCGCTAAAGAGACAAAGACTTGTCAGGACACAACACAGAATGACCAAGTCCTCTGCCCTAACCAACCCATGCTTTAAAGGCATCCTTAAGACTTACCAACATACTCAGCAGGCATGTTCCCCCTTGTGTCAGAGGAGTACATGGCAGGTACAAGGAGGAGGCAGAAAGAGAACAGTAGGACCTATAACACAGGAAAAAGGAAATGAAGGAGGGCCCTGGGTTATACCCATCTTTATCAAGAAAAGACCTCTCCTCCCATCCTCCTCCTCACCAGGACACATGTACTGCCACTGCTACTTTTGTTTGCTATCTCAATCACCATGGCCTGGAGTCTCCTTAGTTGATCTAAAAGAGACCTGAGGGAAGAGAGGAGACAGTGATGAGTGTGCCCTGGCCTGGCACCTGAGTCACAATGAATCCCTCCTGTTAACACTACCCTCTCCATTGGTGCATTGGATCCAATCTCTTAGTTTTCTTGCCTGTTTTGCAAATGACCTCTTCCTCTTTGGGAACAAATGCCTGAATTTCCGTATTGAAACAAACAAACAAAAAAAGCTTCTCTGCCCTGACTTAAACTCCTTTGCAAATACCTTCTGTAATTCTCCACTGTCTGATCAGCTCTGGGTATAATCCACAATGGGCACTCTCTGTTTCCTACCTTCTAGCCTGATTCACCTGTGCTAGAATTCTAGCCTTCACCTAGAATGCTTTCCCCACCCACCCCCACCCCAGGATCCTACCTGCTCTCAGACATTGACTGCCCCCACACAGTCTTTCTCTATCCTGGTACTTCTTGGCTACTTGTAAATTTATTCCCCTAGTAAAGACCAAGCAAGCATCTTGCATTTAGGAGCTTTCCAGTTAGAAATCAAGTGTGAAGTGGGAAAAGTAAGAGAGCATTAGGAACATTTAGAGGGCTGCTTACAGATTCTGTTCCTCTAGGAGCTGTACTTTGTTCTGTAGCTCCTGATTCTGGGCTGTGTATTTCAAGACCCTGGAGGAGAATATGGGTGTCAGGACACTGCCTGTATCCTCCCTTCAAAAACTGAAGGCTTCCAACTTTTTTTTTCTGTTCTCTCTCTTTCCTACCTGCTCTCTAGCCCCCCTACATACACCTTTTTCTTCTTCCGGCTCTCTTGAGCAGATCTCTTGTTGCGAATCTTCCTCCGTACTCGTTTCAGAACTTGTTCCTCCATCTAAGAGAAGATGGGGAAAAGGTTATCCAAGATTAGTAAACTGAAGAGTTGGAAGGCAGCTAAGTTCAATCTTCTACCCAGAAGCTCTCCTACAGCTTCCCTGATCAATAGGCATTTTGTGTGAATATCTTCAAGGACCAGGTGTTTAGTATCAGACTAGTTTTAATAATAATAATAATAAAAAAATCCTCCTAAACTAGATGTGGTGACACATGCCTGTAATCTCAGTACTTGGGAGGTAGAGGGAAGAGAATCAGGAGTTCAAGGCCATCCTTGGCTAAAGACTTTGAGCCTAGACTAAACTACCTAAGTCCCTGTCTCAAAACTAACAACAGCAACAACAACAAAAAAACTTCCTTATCTTAACCCTAACCCAACACCTGTCTCCTTATAGTTTCTATCCACTGGATTTTCCTGGAATATCTAGAGCTATATAGAATTTACTGTTTAGCTATTTTAAAGTGCTGAAACATTTTCTCAAAAATAAAAAAGCTGAATAAAATTGTTGATGTTTCTGGTAGGATAATATTTTATCTTGTTAATAAATATCAAAGATATAGGCTCAGAACTGGACACTAACCAAAAGCGATGTCACACCCCTGTAATCCAGTCTTGGCAGGTGTGGAAGAATGGATCATAAGCTCAGTCATTTCCTACCCACGACATAGACAGTTTGAGGCCAGCCTAGCCTTGGCTGGGGGATGTAGCATAGTGGTAGAGCACATGACAGGCATGCATGAGATGCTGCATTCAAACCGTAGTACCAGCCAAAAAATTAAAGGGTGCTAAGGTGTGTTCTGGTCAGTACAAAGGAAAACAAGTCATGGCCCTTCATGAGGAAGCACCTCTATTGATGGTTTCCAAATTCCATGTGCTTTCCTAATAACTATGTTACATTGATAGCTCATCTTGTAATGGAGGCAGAGGGAAGACAGCATCTCATGTAGCTCAGGTTTGCCTTGAACTTAGCATATAGCTGAGTCTGGTCTTTAACTCCTGAACCTCCTGCCCTCAACTAATTAAACATCTATATAACAAGAAATAACCATGAAAAAATTAAAAATGCAAATAACGTAAAAGTTTTTGCCACAAATGCTGGGCAAGGTAGGTAGTATATGCCTATAATCCCAGCACTTGGGCAGTGGCCTTGAATTTGTAAGGATCCTTCTGCCTCTGCCTCCTGAGTGCTAGGATTATGGGCGCAAAATATCATGCCCAGCTTTGACGTTTATTTTGTTAGACTGTTTAGTCCAGCCAATCAAACATTCCTCCCATTGAGCAGGAAGGGGTTACTATGAAGCCAATGAAATCTAAGTGTCAAGGCCCTTCATTTGCACATTCTTTCCAATGCCCTATACTAATGTTAAACTGACTTAAAAACAAAACATTTATTTTGTGTGTGTTTGTCAGCATGTACCTACCACTGCACAGCATTCCTATGGAGGTCAGAGGACAATCTACAGGATCTGTTCTCTCCTTCCATCATGGGGGTCTCAGGAATTGAACTCAGGTTGTCAAACTTGGAGGCAAATACCATTACCTGCTAAGCCAGCTAGCCCACCCTACACTGATAATTTTTGAAAATACCAAAATTTACATAAGCCCTATAAAATCAGGATCTGCCTTTGTATCTAGCATGTTAACCACCTGCCCCAGTTTCCTACTAGCAACAAATTTGCTAAGATTTTGACACATCCGTTTTCAAGTTATTGATGTGAAATGAACAGAATTTGCCCACTTGGGTTTCACAGTCCCACAGTCTCTAGCCTATGCTCGGTCAATGGAAACTTTACCTTAGTGAGAGGACGCATGGAGGGCAGAGTAAACCCCTCCTTCTCCAAAAGCCTCTTCTCCTCCTCTGTCAGGTTCAGCCTGGAAATCTCCTGGGAATGGTGGACAGCAGACTTGCACTGGGTTGTCAGAGAGAAATGGGAACTCTTGTCCCCAGTCGTGCAAGGTGGCGATAATCCTGAAAACTCAAGGACCTGCTCTGCTGCCTCCTCCACAAGCAGCGGAGTCAAACATGACCCCTCCTTTTCACAGCTCCCACTATCTGCAAAAGAGAAAGTAGGGCTAGCCAGGCCCGAGAACCCTCTCCGGCCCCCTATCCCCAGACTTCAGGTTTCAGTCTCACCTAGATCTATAGAGACGTGTTCCTGTGGGAGGGAGTAAGTGTGGTCATGGTGGACAGAAGAGTTGGAGGAGTCGAGAACGTCCGGCGACGCCGAGGGACTGAGCAGAGAGCTCAGTAAATCCTCTACTTCCCAGTCGCTCAGGGCCTGCACGGAGTTCTAACAAATCCATAGGCGTTGACTTACCTCCGCCCCTTCGGTCTCACGGACGTCGCAGGCTTCCTCACCCAAACGCCCACCCACCTCTGAAGACCGCAGCTCCCAGTCCAGCGGCGCCTCCGCGTACCGGTCGGGCTCAGGCCACAAATCTCCGCTTTCCTCCAGCAGGAAGCCCAGCAGATCCTGATCACCAGGGTCCAAAGCCAGCTCCATTTGGGACATCTATGGATAGGATCCCTGGCAGCAGATCCAGTGTCCGATCCCTGGGCACGATGCCTCGGTCCTAGGGGTCTCCAGATTTACCTGCCGCTCACTGCGGGGCTGACCCGCTGAGGATCTAGCAGTCACCCTAAACCACAGCCGCCTCCTATCCTCAGCCCTCCTCAGCTTCCAACATAACACAAGTGACGCATAGCCCCGTGGCATCTTGGGACTTGTAGTTCCCTGAGATTCGGAAGTGGCCGGCAGGCGGCGCCACGTCCCGGGGGGCTATGCAAATCGCGGGGACGTCTGTGCTGCTTCCGCACACCCTAAGGGCGGGGATTCTACGAATCCGGCTCCGCCTTCGCCCCCAGCTAAAAAAAAAAAGAAAGAAGCCTTAGACTCTAAAAGCGAGCTCCGGCTCAGTGCAGACGTTTGCTCCGGATTGTGCCGCACCCTAGCTTCCTGCCGGGGAGGGGCTGCGGGGCTTCGGCCGGCTCCCGAGCATCGAGAGCTGCAGCCAGAGCAGCTTCCTGCAGGCTCCGCGACCATAGAGCGCGGGCCCAGGGCGCCGCCCGCGGGTGGGGGACGTTCCCCGGACGGAAGTAGCCCACACTGTCGAAGGGAGGGCGAGGCCGGAGCCCCTGAGCAACCGGGAGAGCCAGCGGGTTAGCGGGCCGGCGGGCGGGGCACGGACCCGGGCAGCGCAGGTAGGCCGGACGGGACGGGCGGGAGCCTCTGGGTGGGGCTGCACCCTGGCTTGCCCCGGAGCGGCGGGCGGGGCTCATTCTGCTGCGTATCCTGTGTCCGGTCGGGTTGGGGAGGTTGGGGAGGTCAGCGTCTTGTGGGTTTCAGTTTGGGGTCGGAGTTGTGCATTCCGTGTTGCAAGAGGCAGGCCCTTTTCCCAGGAGCAGTTCTCGGCTGCGATAGGTTGGAGGTGGGGGGCGAGGAATGGGTGGCAGGCAGTGAGGCACTGGGCGGGGATGGGTTTTGGTGGTAGTTGATAGCGGGTATGTCGTTAGGAAAGCTTTGGGTGAATTTGGGATTAGGTGTGGTTGGGTTTAGGTGGCCAGGGTCCCTTTTGAAGTTAGAAAGTTGGACGAAATTCTAAGAATTATTTGCGTGCCTGCTTTGTGTAGGTGAGGTTTAGATTGAGGTCATTATTTTGTTTTCTAGAATGACAAGCATAAGTCAGAGTACAGGGTCCGGTTAAGGATCAACAACAGAAATTAGGTTAGAAGTCCATTTTGGGATTAAAGGCCATTGCCATGGTCAGTTTAAGGATAAACAGTGAAAAAGTGAATTGGGAATCAAGTTACAAATGAGTTTAGGGGTCAGTATTTATGGTTAGTCAGGAGATTTTGTCCCAAAGATAAAAACTAGATTAGTATGGGTGTGTACTAGGAGAGGGATGAATGTCAAATATGGGGAATCAGGAAACAAATTAAGGTCAGAATTGTTGGGAGTTGGAGACAACTTTTGGGGTTGAGGTTGAGGGTATGGTTAAGCAAGTAGAATTTAAGAGGTTGGCAGCAAGTGCCTTTGTTTTGTGGAGCAGTCTCTTATTTCTGTGTAGTTACAGAGGTTTCTTTCACCCAGAGAAGTGACAAACTAACTGCAGGCCAGAGTTCTGGGCCAGCCAAAATTGCAGGTACCTGGAATTCCAGCTTCTTTATTTCACTCTCTATGCCTAAAACCCATTACTGGGACCACCACCGTTGGGAGACAGGGATTCTGGAACTATGTTATTCACAAGATGGGAAGTGGAAAATGGACAGAGACCCAGGAGCCACAGTGTCTAGTTATAGTGAGGAAAACTGCCTAGGAAAGATGAGACCCGTGACTGAAGGGGAAGCTGACCAAGGGAACACTGTTGTCAGAGGAGAAGGGAATGACGGAATCCCCTGACAGTTTAGCCTTACTGCTTCCCTCTCCCCTCTCCCCTATGCACTGCCCTTCTCTCTGGCTCTTTTCCCTGGCTCGACATTGCACACCCTTCATATTTCCTTATAGAATACTTCCCTTGCCTTTAACTCTTTCTGTGCTGTTCACCTTACTGTCCATTCTCACATTCTACTCTGATTTACACTCACCCAAATCTGAGTTTTCCCATCTTAAAGCACCTTCTCTTTCTACCCACTCATATTCCTGCATACCACTTACTAAATGCCAGAGTCCTGCCATGTCCATCCCCTGGTTCTGAGCTTCCTTTAACTTCTTGGTCCAGTTGTAAATCTCCTTCCCCCAGTCCCAACCAAAAAGAGGAAGTGAGACCCAAAGAGGAAACTGGGTGTCACTGATCCCACGCCCAGCTAGGCCACTGACCACACCCCCATTTTACTCCCAGCCTGACCCTGTCACTGACCTCACTATCCCCTACCTAGTCTGATTCAGCCACTGACAGTACCTTATGCCCGCCGATCCCCCCCCCCCACTTCAACTCTGGCATTACTTATCAATGGCCCTTCACCCCCTCCCGACCTCAATCTCATTTAGCCATTTACCACATCCCCAGCTCTTCTTAAACCCCTGTAAGCCTGACCTGGCCTGTGACCTCACTTTGTCATTCCTCACCTTAGCCACCATGCCTGATGTCATTCCTGTCCTCCCTCAGCCTGATTCAGTTGCTGATTTCATGTGTATATTTCCTACCATCATTTTCCCCAGCTTTTTTCTATACCCTGTCATCCCCATTCCTAGCCTGCTGTAGTCAGTAACCCCACCCATCTGCCCTTACCTATAATCACATCGCTTTTTTTCCCCCCACAGCTTTATCCTCACATTTCCCTGACCTTATCCTCCTACCTCCCCAATTTATTGCCTAAACTGAAGCTACCCTAGTCACTAAGTAGCTATTAGTCATAGGAAGCTGTGGGACCCCAGCCTGGCTTTGGGCTCAGGTTTCTGGGAGTTGACAGAACAGACTGTTGTCAGTCTTAACTTTATACTGAACGGCAGCTTCTTCCCCACACATAACTCTGGCTTCATCACCTCTTACTTTACTAATATATTGTCTCTCTAACCTGAATCCAGCATTTTCCTAAAATCCAGTTCTGGGGGTACTCCTTCTCCACTCAGAGCTTCCTTGGCTTCTCAGTGCATTCCAGTAGGTAGCTTCCTCATACCCCACTCGGCCTCTGCCTTTCTATCCTAACCCTGACTCCCCTCCACTGCTCCCTTGCAGGTATCCCATGCTTCAGCCAGCCTGCCTTTTACTTCCCCGAGTTCTCCATGATCTGCTTCTCCACCTTTGCTTATGCTATTCTCTCTACCTGGAATGCTGCTTTTGACTCATCCTCGGCTGACCTAATGGACAGAGCTTGGGCTTTGGAGTGAGAGAGACCTGGGTTCGGATCCTGGATTCACAGCTTATTATTTGGACAAATACTTTGGACAAGTATTTAACTTCCTTGAGCCTCAGTTTCCTAGTCTGTAAAAATGGAGATAATGACACCTACCTTGCAGGGCTGTTGTAAGGATTAACTGAATGCAATGCAATTGACACAGTCAATAAATGACAGATCATTTTTGCTTTTTATTATCTTCATTTTTTAAAATCTGAATTTCAAATAACACCTTTTGTGGACACTTTGGCCCCCCTTCCCTAACCTAAAGGGGTCCCTTTTCTGAGCATGCACATTTTGGCTCTTATCGCACACAGTCTGCCCTCTACTATAACTCTGTATTTAGCTTACCCACCTGGAAGGCTGGCAACCTACTGAAAGCAAAGTCTAGGCTTTACTCATCTTGGTTCCCAGCCACTAAAAGTATGCCCTAGGGCCTTCCCCACAATAGATCCTCAAGGAATGCTTGAGTTGGGAAGATGTATGCATTATGGGAGGAGAGGTGCAGGGGGCCTAGGCTTTGGAGCCTGATACACTTGTGGGGAAGCTGTGTGTATGGGATGGGGTACATGCAAGAAGATGGATCTATGTTGGGGTTGTGAGACTGAGCTAAGATGTTTGTAGAGACAGCATAGGGAGTTTTGTGGGAAAGAGTTCCTTGTATAGCCCATGGTGCCTTGGTGGAGAATGAGTATGCATGTGTGGATATCAAGTCCCTGTGTTGGAGGAAGTCAGGTCTAGCCTTTCAACTGCCCAGTCCAGCCCTAAATGAGCCTCCAGCAGCCCGAGGCCGGATATGTCATTCTCACCCACAAACCCCTCCCCCCTCCCCCTTCCCCAGCGGTTGCGGACTCAGAGGCCAAATTTGGTAACAGACTGTTATTCCCCCAACCCTGTTACACTCTGACTGCTGACAGCTTTCTCTCTTCCTTTGTCCCTCTCTATAACTCCCTATCTTTCTGCAGTGTCCTTTGTGGGTATCTACATTGATGATATTCTCTATGTACTCCCAAATTCTTTAGCCTCAGTACATTTACATTCCATTCCTTGCTGGGATTTGACCTCCTGTCCTCCATTCCCCCCCCCAATTGCCCAACTCCTCTGGAATGCATCTCAGGAATGTATTGAGGGAGGAGGAGTTCCCTGGGAGGAGGACTTGAAGGGGGTATTGCTATTCCATAAAACATGATGGAAAGGGAACTAAAGTTCTCAGACTGGGGCAGGAAGCAGATAACGTCTACGTATACTCCAGGGGCTACCACTACCCCCACATCAGTGTCCAGTTTCTTGACTTCCCTTCACCCTCGGTTAACTGTGGATAGCCACTCATCACCAGCCAGGAGGTCAGGGTAGGCATGACTCAACTCTTATCAAGGTCCTACCAGAGGTTTCTGAGGATAAGTGGGTATCCATGTGTCTGGAGGAAATGGGGGGAGGGGGGCATACATACAATCAGCTTAGACCGAAGGGTCCTCTCAGTTTTCCAGTTCCTCGGACTCTGCTTCTTTGACCCTGCAGCCTTTTCTCTCCTGTTGTCCACAGCCAGGTCTGTCCTGTTTTGGGGAGAGTTGCCCCAGGAATGGGGAGGGGACAGAGAGCTGGAACTGAGGAGACTGGGAGAGGTCTCATTTGGGGTAAAGAGAGGGAAGCTATGGCTCTAGCGTAGACTGTATGTATGGTCGGAAACAGCCTACTAGTCATTGATTCAGATCTTTCCTACATCTGGCTTTGGTTTCTACCAAGACTTTCAACTCTCCCACCTCATTATTCCTGACCTTTTTTTCTTCTGTCTTTTCCTAAGTTCCCTGATTTTCAAATACTTTCTGTATCCTGGT